TTTTGAAATCCAAGTTTCTCTGAAACGAGTTTAAGTTGATATCTGATCTAGTCTGACTAAACGACTTTATTTGGCACAAAATAGAAGAGTTGATGGCAGTTCATGTCAAGTGTGTTGGAGCAGTATCTACTAAGTAATCAAATGTAGCACAGATGCAGTGAAGCAGGACAGATTCTTCCAGGTCTTGAAGACGAAAATCACAGCCTGTGATTCCTTTGTGTTTAAGACGTCCAGACTGGGGACTGTATAATCCTACCAGTTTTTACAGAGTCCAACCGCACAAACATGGCACATATAGCAGAGAACAATCAGTTCTAGATTTCACTTGCAGAAATTTAAAAATTATAATAAAATACCACAGAGCTACATTTAGTTTAAAACATACAAAGACACAAATTACATTATAAAAACTCTTCGTGTGGCTTATTTTACCTCAATTACTACTAAAAAATTACACTTACCAAGGATCTGGGTTACAAAGTAAGAATTTGCCTGTGCAGGTAAACATTAATGGAATTGTGCCATTTTCCAGACTCTCTTTTTCCATGATTAATATGTATTTCCTTCCGTTTAAAGTGAGGCCTTTCCTGGGGCATCTGGGTGCCTCAGTCGTGTAAGCAACTGCCTTCAGCTCAGGTCATGATCCCAGGGTCCTGGGATCGAGCCCCACATCGGGCTCCCTGCTCCGCGGGAAGCCTGCTTCTCCCTCTCCCACTCTCCCTGCTTGTGTTCCTTCTCTCACTGTGTCTCTCTCTGTCAAATAAATAAAATCTTTAAATAAATAAATAAATAGAGGCTTTTCCATTATGAATTCCTTCCAATAATGAATCACTATGTTATTATCCCCACTCTATTTCTTGTCCCTATTTACTTTATAGATGATCCACACCAAAGAAATGAAAACGATATTTTCTCCATTGCTTTTGTTCCCTTTCCCATATGTAAACAATATGTTTGGGGGAACTTTCCATGAGGCTGAAATTGGCAAGGTTTTATTCCCTGTAATACCAAAGAACTAATATCCTTCTTCCTAAAGGCTAAAGAGAAGTATAGGTGGTTAAACTACAGTAGAAAAGGAATTCCAGCAACATTGCTGTTTCCAGAATATTTCTAAAAAATAAGAATTGTGTCAATTAATTACTGAGTATTAAATAATATATGACTGCTTCTAAGACATTCTAGAGTTTACAGGTTGGAATCCTGAAGTTAATAGGTTTAGCTATAGAACACATATAGTTTTCTTTATATGGTTGGTTTTTATTAAGAATACTAAGAGAACTTAACACAGTTTTTTTGATGTTAGAGAAGGGGGTAGTGGGGCAAAGGGAGAGGGAGAGAGAATCTTAAGCAGGCTCCACGCCCAGCATGGAGCCCAACGAGGGGCTCGATCTCAGGACCTTGATATCACAACCTGAGCTGAAATCAAGAGACGGACACCTAACCGACAGCCACCCAGGTGCCCCAAACTTAACAAAATTTTTATACAAATCCTCACAACACCCCTGTGAGGTAGGTATTACTTATATCCACTTTACAAATGGGAAATCAGAAAAGCAGAGCATGAAATAATAATCTCAAGATACATAAATCAAGAAATTTTGGTTTTCGGGGCACCTGGGTGGCTCAGATGGTTAAGCATCTGCCTTTGGCTCAGGCCATGATCCCAGAGTCCTGGGATCAAGCCCCGCATCCGGCTCCCTGCTCTGCGGGAAGCCTGCTTCTCCCTCTGCCTCTACTACTCCCCCTGCTTGTACTCTCTCGCTCTGTCGAATAAATAAATAAAATCTTTAAAAAAAAAAAGCTTTATTAAAGAAATTTTGGTTTTCTTATAAGGGAGACTGCACTTTGAGTTCCAGAGTTGTGACAATATGCTAATAGTGACAAATACTGAAACAAGTCCGTTTTTCTCCAGAAAACAATTATATGTAGGATCTGGAAAGAAGGGAAAATTCTAAGCTGATCCAAGAAGAAAATGTCTGTTTAGTATTTGCCTAATACATTGATTAAGGTGCATGTAGCATTTCCTGTTTGAAGAGCTTGGTAATCATTATGCAAACTGTATTATATGGTTAATATTATAGCTCCATTTTGCAGATGACATGGTCAAAACTAAAGGGTTTAGCTGGAAGAAACTTTTTTTATCCAAAAGAGATTTTCTTAGTAAGGAATCACATCTTAAAAAAATACACTCAGGGCACAGCATTCATTAATCATATAACAGTTATTTTATTTTATTTTATTTTTAAGATTTTATTTATTTGACAGAGAAAGAGCGAGAGCAGGAACACAAGCAGGGGGAGTGGGAGCGGGAGAAGCAGGCTTCCCGAGGAGCAGGGAGCCCAATGTGGGGCTCGATCCCAGGACCCTGGGATCATGACCTGAGCCGAAGGCAGATGCTTAACGACTGAGCCACCCAGGTGCCCCAATAGTTTTTTATTTTATTTTATTTTTTTATTTTATTTTATTTTTTAAAGATTTTATTTATTTATTTGAGAGGGAGAGAATGAGAGAGAGCACGAGAGGGAAGAGGGTCAGAGGGAGAAGCAGACTCCCCGCTGAGCAGGAAGCCCGATGCGGGACTCCATCCTGGGACTCCAGGATCATGACCTGAGCCGAAGGCAGTCGCTTAACCAACTGAGCCACCCAGGCGCCCCTCAAAGAAATAAAATCTTAAAAAAAAAAAAAAAGACTAAAGAAAGAACATTTGCTTTGAACTTCTAATATCAAAAGGAACTATATGAATGAGAATAAAAATACAGTTAACCATTACATTCTTAACACCCAACACATGGAGATATATTTCAGCTTTAAATTAATGTTGTCTGCCATGGCTAATCAGTCACAGCAAACTCTTAACAATTTCTTCAGACTCTGCCCTACACTGCTGCCCTACCCCTCACCTCACATGCACCCTCAATCCACCCTTTAGCTACACATTTCTTGTGTCAAAGACTAACGACTGCGCAGGAAGGAAAGAACAGAGAAGAAAGAAATCAAAAAATTGTTATCCTAATGAGAAAAAGAAACTTTTACTTGAAGAAGGCTAGGGAATATATCCTGAATAGCCTAAAATACAAAATCAATGTTAATATCTGTGTTCATCCTATGAGATGAAATCTTTGAGGGTAAATTTGAATAATTGCTTGAATGACTTAAGACTAGATGAAGTTCTGACCCCAAAGAGCAACACAGTTGTTTTTAACCACTCCCAATATAATTGATCCTATATCAATAGCTAGTTAGATTTCATTCTCAACACATTTCAATCTTGACCCCAGGAAGCTTTAGTCATTTGTCTGAGATGGAAACTCAACTGCCTTAGACAATGCCCAGTGGTTTCTTCATTCAGCCTTCAAGAAAAGTTCACCTACCTCACTGTTTACCCACAGAAAAACTTTTGTGCCCTCAGAATGAGCTAGATTAGTCTTTGAGCTCCCTTCTGACTGAACCCTGACACTGCCAGGAGGTGTCCTCAGAAGGACGCCATCATAAAGGAGCTCAGAGTTTCTGTATACACTTAATTTCTAAGCCTCACAAACCAGATCTACTAACATGTCTGTGAGGCTTTGAACGGGGCAGCATACAAAAAAGATGGGGCTGTTTCAAAGCCTCTCTCTTTTGTCATTCTGGACTATCTAATTTTTGAAATTTAAACATTTTAGAAACAATTTAGGTCTATCCTTTGTGGTGAAGTTTGACCAGCTATCCCCCAGCTACAGAAAGGAGAATCTATCGTTTAGTCCATCAGTTTTAATTTTTCTGATGTTATAGCTTTGTAAGTTTCACTGCTATAAAAGGGAGCTAAGTTTATTCACAAAGGGAAAGCTATCATGGATTTTAGACATAGTTTTAGGACATTGACTGTATCTACTCTGGATATGGATCAGAAAAAAAATGAAAACTGTGTCATTGAAGAATTACTTTTTCAAGTAACACTTAGAAAATCCACATCAGGGCGCCTGGGTGGCTCAGTTGGTTGGGCGACTGCCTTCGGCTCAGGTCATGATCCTGGAGTCCCGGGATCGAGTCCCGCATCGGGCTCCCTGCTCAGCGGGGAGTCTGCTTCTCCCTCGGATCCTCCCCCCCTCATGCTCTCTCTCTCTATCTCATTCTCTCTCTCAAATAAATAGATAAATAAAATCTTTAAAAAAAAAAAAGAAAGAAAAAGAAAATCCACATCAACTCGGGCAGCCTAGAAAATCCTCTGACACTGAGAGTAGAAAGATAATTTCTATTTTATCATTTTCCTCTTTAAAAACTGATGTAAACCTCTGGTCATAAAAAAAATCTCAAATTGTTCTTATGGTCTTTAAGAAAATGCTCTAGGTGAAGGTAACAACACTGGTGTTGGGTGTCGGTCAGTGTAGATCTATCTGAGTCTGTCTCTACATTTATCTGTCTGTATGTATCTTCCTATGTCTCTCCGTAGGATTTTGTTTCAATGTCTGAATCTTCTCCCTTTCTCTATTTTCACTAGAATATTTTTTATTAAAAATAAGGTATGCTCAATGTCAAAAAATAAAAGCCAAGTAAGGTGCTGCAGAGCTAATAAGTAAAAAGTGGTTTTAAAACTACTTACAATTTATTATAGCTATGTCCTAAAACAAAACTTGTATAGATTATAACATATAGTTATGCAGTAGAATAACTTTAACTTCCTATATGGCAGAAAATATTTTTAAATAGTCTTCATAGGGGCATATCTGTGTGAAAAATTAGCCAAAAGTGATAGCCTAGAATGTTCTTTAAAAAATACTTCATTTACTTCAATTTGGTTTTACTGATTCTACAACTTAGAAATTCTATAAATATTTACTCTAAACTCCATAGTTCCTACATTGATTTCTGATTTCTAAATTGTGATTTATGCATGTTCATAGCTCTACTTGAAGGTTACATTTTAATAGCCATATGTATAATATATCTTACAATAAGAAGACCTCATATATACAACCTTAAAACTGTGAATCAATGGTAAAGAAAAAGAGTTAATAGAAGTGGAGGAGGAAAATAATTTATGAATACAAATTCATGTGAATTTTCTTTTTCAGCATGGGTATAAAAATCATGAAGAAGAAACTGCTACTCCACAAGGATAGTGTCTGCATTTTCTTGTGTGAGCTCTGACTCTAAGGCACAAGGTGAATCTAACTGCTCTTGTGACAAGCGAGAACTTTTCAGGGGGACATCAGACCAACTGTCACAATATGACTGAAATCTCTGGGCTAACGCATTGCCGAACCTTTGGCATCGGTTATATCTGTAAGATTTACCTTTGTGTGTATACATGTGTTCTAGCAATTGGCTCTTTCGGAGAAATTTATGACCACAGATGGAACAGCTGATTTTTCTTTTCCTTGAGAAAGAAAAATTACAGTTTAATTCTACTGGCTCTGTGTCTTTGGAGATTAAAGCCACTTGACTGATCTGCAGAGGCTCTGCGGCACCCTGGTTTGAGTGGTCACGCTGCTGCTCATTCTCCGTGACAATGAAGGAGCTGAGCCTGCGGCATTCAAGGGCCTCACTATTTTCATTAAGTGGATGTACTTCACCAAGGTCATTGCTTTCCAGAATGGAAGCAGGGACACCGAATGGGAGGGATCCAGACACATGGGTATGGAGATGTTGCCGTAGGTTACTACGGGAATCAAAACGTTCCCCACAGTAATGGCACAAGTGTGTTTTGATGCTGCTTTCCGTGAAAGTGGGGCCTGTCGCCTCGGATGAGAGTGAGGGGTGGCTCTGGGAGAGCGCAGACTCTGGGTCACACGTCTCCTGCTTGATGGACACTGGGGGCTCCTGGCGCCCCTCCAAGGCCTGGGCGGCAGGACGGGCCCTCTGCTGCTCTGTGGTGCCGTCATCCAGCCCGATGGCCAGAGACAGCTGCAGCTGGCGGTGGTCACCCTGGACAGCAGCTCTGTTGCCATTGTTACTGGCAGGAGCTTCCTTGACCTCCAGCCCAGGCTTGACAGCTGTTTTTTGGGTCGTTGAGATCTGAATGCCATACAAATTTGAAGACTGCACAGTCTCTGGTGAGAACGCTTGATTCATTTCAGTCGCAATGTGAGAAAGATAGTCGGCGTGAAGAAATCGAATCCCTTCCTCCAAACGACTGTGATCCACAATCTGTTTTGGCCCTTTCCCCGTGTACATAATGTGCAACAAATAGCTGAATATGTCAGGCTGGATGTCAGTTGGTTGTATTTTTATGCATTCACTGTTAAAAACAAACAAACAAAAAAACAGGCCCACACAAGATAAAATGACCAGTTGGCCTTTTGGTTAGCACTATACAGTCTTAGGCTAATGCAATTTTTTCCTAAGAAGTTCAGACTTAGCCATCTGCCTTGATGAAATATATCAACAGAAAATTAAACATTCACAGTACACCAGCTTTATGGCCCAGCAACAAGTTTTCATGTATTCAACCTACCGCCTAAAGTTGGGAAACACACACAGATATTCTGATTAGTTGAACAATTAGTGACTCCTAAGTGGTAGGCACTATACTAGGTGCCAGGGATGAAAAACATGATGAATAAAACAGATACCTTCCTCTTAAGGAACTTAACAGTCTTTTGAATACACAACCAAAAGAACTGAAAACATGGACCCAACAGACACCTGTACGCCAATGTTCATCACAGCATTACTCACATTAGCCAAAAGGTGGAAACAACCCAAGTGTCCATCAACAGATGAATGGATAAGCGAAATGTGGTATATACATACAATGGCATATTATTCAGCCAAAGAAAGGAATGAAGTTCTGAATGATGTTACAACATGGGTGAACCTGGAAAATGTTTGGTAAGTGAAATAAGCCAGACTCAAAAGGACAAATTTTGTATGGTGCCACTTATAATACGCAAATTCATGCAGACAGAAAGTAGATTAGAGTTAACCAGGAGCTTGGGGTCGGGTTGGGGAGATGAGTTATTGCTTAATGGGTACAGAGTTGATGTTTAGGGTGATGCAAAGTTTTGGAAATGGTAAGTGGTGATGGTTGCACAACATTGTGAGTGTACCTAATGCCAGTGAATTGTATGATTAAAATGGTCAAAATGGCAAATTTTATGTTGTATATATTTTACAAAATAAAAAATATTTAAAATTTTAAAAGGATCTATTAAAATTGGTAATATTTAGAATTTAAATTACACTAATCTTATTTTGGCTTCCAAACTATAGTAATATATCTACTCTTCAAATCACAAATGAATATAGGTATAACTTTGAAAAACTTTAAAAATAACCTCAAGCTCAATTTTTAAATATGAATCTACAATTCAGATAATAGAAATAACAGCATAACAAGAAATCAGCAAACGCCCTGCAAAATTAGGATAAAGAGAACGTGAGGGAAGTGTTGGATGTCAGGGAACAATGGCATCAGTCAATGGACTTACCCTCCCTGAAGCAAAAATTCCTGTCTGCTTCAGAATGCACAGGGTATCAGATGCTGGCAATCCATTTCTTTAGTTCCCTTATCTCAGGACTCCCTCTTGGGTTTCAATCTTAGCTCTCACCCACCCACTTCCAGGGTCTGTGGCAGGGGTTTTTTATATCAGCACAGAGCTGTTAACTGAGGATTTTTAGTTGCTCAACAGAGATACCACGTAGCAGGCCTGACACCTTTGTATCTCTTGGATTTAGTTTAGCATGGTGCCCGGCACACAACAGGTGCTTTGGGAGCTGAACCAACTCATAGCTGTTAGACGAGACTGATGTGAAGGCACTGTTCCTAATCTAGTTTCTACATTGACACCACCCATGACATATCCCCCACTCCAACCTCCTCCCCACTTTGTGCCATGCATTCCAACCATTCTGGTCTACTCTGTTTCCTGAATGTACTAGCCTGGTTCATATCTGCCTATGTTTTCATGCAATTTTTCCCTCTGCCTGCAATGTACCTTCTTGCATTCCTTTACAATATCAAAAAAACTCCTCCTGATCCTTCAAGATCCAGGGCTTCTGTAAAGCCTATTCCAATCTCCTCAAAATAGGGCTGCTGACACTCCACTCTGCCTTGTACAATACTTCTGTTATAGACGTATCACATTAGTTATTGATAACAGTAGCTGACAGGGCAAAGCTCTGTTCTAAGCATTTTAATATTATTAATCCATTTAATCTTCTCAACACCATGGGGTGAGTATACATACTATGCCAGTGTTTTACAAAGAAGGAAACTGAGGCACAGACAGATCAATTACACCACAATTTTTTTCTTTACATGTGTTCTCTATTAAACTATGAACTAACTAACTCCTTGAGGACAGGGAGCATTACTAGCCTGTTACTGGGGTCTAGTACAGTGCTTACATGTAAGTACCCAACAAATATTTAAATGAATGAACAGGTAAATGAATATGTGTGATTGGGGCTAGACTACTAAGTATTTCATGCAAGGTCATTTAAAAAAAAACAGAGAGAAGTCTATCTCCTTCAACCTAGGATGGATTAAAGCTATTCTTTAAGAGCTCAGAATCTGAATACGACTTTCCGGCCCACTCCCTACATACCCACCATGTTGGGATAATCCACATTCAAAAAATCAAAACACTTGAGAAAAAGTATTTGAAACAAATGTCTTCTGAACTGTAATATGGAATATAAGGTGTGTAGAATTATGACATTATACTCTTGCTATGAAAGTGTTATAGAATAGATATCAACAACTCAGTGAGTCAGAACATAGATTGTTAAAAGCACAGATCTGCATTTGAGGATAACTTAATAGCTATATAATCCCGGATGGGCCAGTTACTTGACTCAGTCTCAGTTTCCTTTTCTCTAAAATAGTATGGATAATAGTAGAATGTACATTAGGTAAATACTTAGTGCTTGGGTATGGGCTAAGCCTTCAGTAACTTTTAGCTATTATTGTTTTCATTTTTACCTTCCACCATAGATCCTACACACTGAGATGAATTACTGGATGTGTTAAAAAAAAAAAATATATATATATATATATATTTCTTAAGGTGACCCCATAACAAAGAATCCCCCAAATGATGTTATAATAAGGCTTAGCTATATCACAACATTAAAAACTCTTCTGATTTACAAAAGCACATCCTTACCTTGTTTGGTGAATAAATATCATCTTGAAATAGTTAGAAAAAGCAGCAAGCACTGCTCTGTGGGCTTTGAAGTAAACATCTCCAATGGCAACTGTGCAATCACACAGAAAACCAAATTCTCGCTGCATGTTCAGCTGCTGCAGAAGGACAAGGCTATGGCTAGCTGTGTCCATTGTGGCTCTGAGAAAAAGGACAATTTTTTTTTTTACAAAATTAGCTACAGTTCACACAAACCTACAGAGTACAAGGAGGCCTAAATTTAAATGAGATTACTTAATAGTTTTTAATACTGTTAATTTCACCCCAAACTTAGCTAACATTAAATCCCCTCATTAAAACTGCAAAATATGGTCCTTTTTCATCTAAGAAGGTAGCTTGGTATGAGTAACACAGAAGCAAAAGGAAGGCCTGTCTTTTTTTATCTATGTGGCCGTGCTTCTAGTCATACTGCCCCTTCCTCAGAGCTGTAGGAGTTAAGTTATGTGAAAAGCACCTTGTAATGGAAACTGCCATTCAAGTGTTAGCTATAACTGTCCATATCGCTGTCCTGGCCGGGCTAGAGCTGTCAGTGCTCCGTAGGGATCCCTGTGAGCTCAGGGGACACTGGCCCTCTAACTATCATACAGTATGTTTGGGAAACATGATCAGTCACAGTATGTGCAGGAGCCCTTAAAATGGATATCAAGCCACATCCCCTGATTTACATGGGGCCCGGGAACCCAATGGAAAGAGCCTAAACCCTGATATTAACTGGTTTCAGACACATACAAGCATGGAGGCTCCTGAAGGAACAATACAGAATGGGACCACTGGTCTTGGGAAAAGTCACGCATGAGGAAAAACAAGCATAAGAATTGAGGCAGAGAAGTCTAGTGTGAGCAGCAAGGGATTCAAGAGTGCCAGAGTTCCAGGCAGACTGGAGGCTCTGCTTCACCCCGACTGTGTAGACAGACCCGGTGCCTTAAGGAGAAGGCAGCTGTGGTATAAAGGGCATCACTGGCCAGCTGGGAGAACCTACTCTAAAAGAGCAGTTTCTGAAGAAGAGAATGAAGTTTCCTCACTAGCCAGAGGCCAAAGTCTAAGGAGGTCAGTGATGAGAGTGTGGAGTTAGCTGTGTGGAGACTGGCCACAGCTTGGGCAGCAGACAGCTGAGTGATCAATAATATAATAAAACTGGCTAACATTTACAGTGCTTCCTGTGTGTCAGGCACTTTTCACTCATTTAGTTCTCAATACGACTATACAAGAAAGGGAATATTCAATGCATCTACAGATGAAGAAACTGAATCAGTACCAAGAGTTAATTTACTCAAGTCACACTGCTAATAAGTGGCAGAGCAGGGGATTCAAACCTGGACACTGGGCTCCAGAATCCAAATGTCTTCCCTTTCCACCTCCCAGAGAGAACATGACCCACAAACTGGAGATGCCTAGGGAATGGTCAGGTTATACATCAAGATATCTCGGGAAGCCTCAAGAATGTTTGGAAAGGGGAACTAGGGAAAAACCCAGATTTCCTGCTGCTTAATTTGCTTACACAAATCTGATACAGAAACAAATACTTATTAATGGATAAAATCTAGGCTATAACTGGTAAACAAAAAGGTAATTATTACTGATACAAAGTTAAATCTATTTTTATTAAAATTACATATTTAATGTACTGATATGAAATAATCTCTAAGATATATTAAGTAAAAAAAAGCAAAGCATAAAATTGTAAAGAGAAGACTACTATTTATGCAAAAGGGGGTGGTTATTTTAAAGGTGGGGGAGAAATTTATACAGAAATATATTCTTGTTTATGTACACATCTCTGGAAAGATTCAAAGAAATGAGTGAAATGTTTGCTTCTGGGAGGGAAACAAGGGAGCAGAGTGGGGGAATTGTACTGTTTAAACTTAAATTCTTTTTTTTTTTTTTCCTTGAGAGAGAGAACAAGCTCAAGTGAGCTGGGGGTGGGGAGCAGAGGTAGAGGGAGAGGATCTTAAGCAGACTCTGTGCTGAGCGTGGAGCCTGATGTGGAGCTCCATCTCAGGACCCTGAGATCATGACCTGAGTTGAAATCGAGTCAGACACTTAACCAACTGAGGCACCCAGGCACCCTGAACTTAAATCTTTTTATTGAAGTTAACATCATAAGTACATTCCAACATGTATTCCTTTTCCCCTCATTTTTAAAAATCATGAAGGGGGCGCCTGGGTGGCTCAGTCGTTGAGTATCTGCCTTTGGCTCAGGTCATGATCCCAGGGTCCTGGGATCAAGCCCCGCAACAGGCTCCCTGCTCGGCAGGAAGCCTGCTTCTCCCTCTCCTGCTCCCCCTGCTTGTGTTCCCTCTCTTGCTGTGCCTCTGTCAAATAAGTAAAGTAAATATTTAAAAAAAATTATGAAGTATTTCAGATAGACAAATAGGTACAGAGATCAATGTGACAAACATGCAGCCAGCCAGCCACCCCTGAGCACATAAGGTAAACATTACAAATGTGGTAGAGACCCCCTACCCTCTCTCCCTCATTTTAACTACCCATATCCTTGCCTCCAAAGGTAATCATCATCCAGACTTTGGTGTTTATGACTGGTAACATCATCATGTTCCTACTGCATCTGTATGTATCCCTTCAGAAGGTATGGTATTATTTTGCATGTTTTAAAATTTTATATAAATAATATTGTATTTTAAGAATCCTGCAACTTGCTGCTTTTAATTCTATTCATATATTACTTTTAAAAATTATACTTACTCAAACATTAAGTTTCTCCCAAAACTCCCCCAATTAAAAAATAAATAAAAACAAAACTCTTACTCCTTACCATCTCATTTTAAAAGCCTTTAAGCAGTAATGAAATAAGAGGGAACAAAATAACAGAACCTACAGAGACCTGAGCGTAAACCAAACTCCAAATTGTGAGTATTGTTCCAAAAAGCCATTTAACTAAAAGTCACTATTTATTGTATTTGCCGCATTACCTGGATTCTAAAACACCACCAATTTATTATAGAGAGATTTAAAAACCAAAATAAAACTGTATGCTGGAGATTTCACCATGTGAAAAACATGTGCCTTAGATTCAATGAAATGGTTCAAATTGAAGTAGTTTAAACTAGCTTGACAAATTGTTAAAAAAAACCAAAAACCTCAGATCATAAACATTTTCACCAGATCTATCTATATACGTATATACACATATATACACACACACATATATATATAGTGCATTAGTGTTATGAACTACTGAACCACATGGAAATGAGAAAGGGCACACTAAAAAGCCACATATACAAAAATCTTGTGGTTAATGGTCTATGAGTAACAGTTTAATTCTTCGCTTACTGAACATTTTTTGAAGAGAAACTTAATAAAGAAAAAATTATTTGAAGGCATGCATTATACAAGGCCTAGGGATGGAAGAAAAATACTTACATGCTGCAACCAAGAAGACTGCAGGCTAACATGCACCCCAATATTTACAGCAGCAATGTCCACAGTTGCCAAAACATGGAAAGAGCCCAGATGTCCACCAACAGATAAATGGATAAGAAGATATGGTATATATACAATGGAATACTACTCAGCTATTGAAAAGAATGGAATCTTGCCATTTGCAATGATGTGGCTAGAGCCAGAGGGTATTATACTAAGTGAAATAAGTCAATCAGAGAAAGACAAATACCATATGATCTCACTCATATGTGGAATTTAAGAAACAAAACAGATGGACATAGGGGAAGGGAAGGAAAAATAAAATAAGAGGAAAATGGAGGGGGAGGCAAACCATAAGAAATTCTTAACTATGGGGAACAAACTGAGGGTTGCTGGAGGAGGGGATGGGGTAACTGGGTGATGGGCATTAAGGAGGGCACCTGAAATAATGAGCACTGGGTGTTATATGCAACTGATGACACATTGAATTCTGCCTCTGAAAGTAATAATATAGTATACATTAATTAAATTGAATTTAAATAAAAAATTTTTAAAAAAAGATTGCAGGCTAATGGGGAGACAAAACATAAAACATGGTAATTATGATATAAAGTAAAAGTGGCAAATGTCATAAGAGCATTTCAGAGAACATGCTAAAGGGGAGATCAACATCAGGCAACCCAATGAAAAATAAGCCATTTGAACTGGATTTAGATGAACAGGCAGAAGGTGAACATAGCATTCCAGGCAGGAAAAAATAGAATGAATAAAATTACAGGGAGGAGTGTGAATATATAGGTAACTGAAGAACTCAGTTTGGCATAGAAAAACCAAAAGTAAGTGGGTAATAAGAGATGTGGTCAGCTCACACAGTACCGAATATAAAACTGAAAGGTACTCCACTTGTGTTTGAAATGAATGGTGTTAAGATGTTTTTGCAGGATCCCTCCTGCAAAACAGCATAGTAGTTAAAGCTTGGACTCTGGAATTAGACAGCTTGGATTAAAATTCCAATTCTGTCATTTAGCTGTGTGATCTTGAGAAGATGCTTAACTCTCTGGTCCTTGGTTTTACTTGTAAAATATGGATAATTACAGTATCTACCTCACAGGTTGATACATAGATTTAATAAGATAATGCACATAAGCACATAGAAATAGTGAGGCCCACAGTTAAGTGTTCAGTAAATACCAATTACCATCATGATCATCACCATCAGAACTTTGAGTCAAGATTGCTCTAGTGGCAATACATAAAAAAGATTAGCAAGGGACAGGTATGGAGAAATAAAGACCAGCAAGAAGTCCACTGCAATATCCAAGTAATGGCAGTGGGAATGAAGGAATACAAGAGATACACCAGACATAGAACTGACACGACTTGGCAGCCAGACTGGATGTGGTCAGCCACAGGGAAGTCAAAGGCAAGTCTCAGAATTCCAGCTTGGATAACTGGAAGAATTCATTCACCCCTTCAGGTCATATTTTCAGAGTAACTGTCATGTGTTAGGTATCAAAATAAAGGCAGAGTCTCAGAATGCCAGAGAAGAGGCATAGAAACTGGCTTCATAAAAGAGAAGTTTCATTTTGGACACAGTGAGTTCAAGGTATTCGCTCCAGGACATCTGAGTAGAAATGTTCAGTGATCAATGGAGACATTATGTAGGACTGGGACTCTAGAGATCAGGGCTAGACAGGGAGAGGAGGTCCTCTGTAATTACACAGCTGAAGCCACCAGGAGTGGGTGGGACTATTGAG